TAAGATTTTCTATACTGTCACATGGATCAGTAGTGAAAATGGAAACCATCTAATCATACATACACAAGGGTCTCAGCAGCTTTTAGTCACAATGGAAACAGAAAAGAAAGCAATGGCAATAGCAGACAAAGCTAAGGGAATCTAACATACTCAAAATATAGGAATAAGGGATAGACCTTGCTGTGCAAGTTTTGTGCACTAAACTTTCTGATGTCTTCCTTCCCCTTACACATTTTTAAGCTTCTGTCAACAGCTGAATTACTTTGAGAAAGTACTACTGAAGGGGTTGGCTTATATGCTGGGCTACATAAAGCCCAGTTAAGGACCCTATCAAAAAGAAAAGGATGATACAATAGTAAGAAGGAAAAGAAAAAAAAAGAGTTCAGAAATAGAGTTGATGAAAAGAAATATGGGAAAGAAAAATGTGAGGAAAAGGAAGGGAAGAGAAAGTTTTTCAGAAGTGTTCTTGCTTCCTTCAAATAAATCATGTCTGCTGCTCACTTGAACACAGACCAAGGGAAAATTTTTCAACTCCCTGACTAAATCATAACATGCAGTAAAAGCTCTTTTTCTGGAGATGCAAAGAAAACCAGAATACAGTTTTATTTCACATTTCCACCAGCACTGCATTGGGATGGATTCACTGAAAGCATGCACTGCTCTTCCCCAGGGTACTGAAACTGAACAGTTCGGAGATGCAAAGAAAACCAGAATACAGTGTTGTTTCACATTTCCACCAGCACTGCACTGGGATGGATTCCCTGAAAGGATGCAGTGCTCATCCCCAGGGTACTGAAACTGAACAGTTTAATCCAGACTTACAGAGTTCCCACGAGGTATCAGATTATTCCAAAAAAAATAAGTCAAATATGCTTGTAGATATTTTGCACCATTCCAACTAGGAAATGTGGCATCATTCCCCAAGTGCTTTTTGCTGCTGAAGGTTACCATTGGACAACTCATTTGCCCACCAACATACTTTAGGAGTCCATAATTCACTTCAGGCAAAACCCAGGTGTAACCACACTGCCAACATCAATGGTTTGAGATAGTGAGGTGGATTTTGTACGTAGCAAATTCAGGCAGGCAGGAGAGGAATGGCTAGGTGAGAGTTGTGACTGTGCAAGGAGCAGATGGAACCAACAGCCTCTTTCAGCAGCTCAGCTAAACATGCAGATCTGTCAGGGGCTCTGTAAGCATAAAAGCAAACTACTGTGTCTCACCCACACCTCTAGTACTGCAGGATGGGCTTTCACATTCTGACTCCCATGGAAAATGGAAATAAAAAATGTCAGTAGTTCTCCAAGGCAAACCAGATAGACTTAAAAGGATAATTAAAAAAAAAAAAAAATAACCCTCTCCTTTAAAATCCATTTACTCTTCTTGATTTATCCTGCAGAGAAATCATAATCCTGCAACTGATGAAACCATAGCATGTTACCTTGGCAACTGATAACTCAAATTCAGTGTAAAGAATACACTCAAAGGTCAGACTGCATGAAAAGTTAGGATAAGGAAGGTGTAATTCATGTTGAAAGGTATAAGTACAGAAAAAAAAGTGCTGCTGATATTTCTGATTACAAAGATTCCATGCAATAAATATAAGCATGCTGGAGAAAAAAAAAAAAAAAAAAAAAAAAAAAAAGAATAAGATCACACAACATCAACCTGGAGCCTGAAAATATAAACCTCTCTTGGGAAGCTCTGAATATATGTTATGACAAGATCTGTAAGTTCTAGGAATAAGCTATTGCATCAAATTGTTGTCATAACATTTTCTATCATCTGAAACTGTATATTCTTTGACATCGTTTTAATTGTTATATGCTACCAAAAAAAGGGTATTGAAATAGTCAGGTTCACTAATAATAAGCAAACACCTCATCCCACACCTTAAGTAAGGCATACTTTTAAGTGTTTTGGTCAAAACCCTGGGTATTGCCAACTCTTCTTAAGCAGCACAAGTTTGCTTAGGAACAACTCCAGCACTGAAGCAGGTTCAGACTCAGAGATCAATCTGTCCTCATACATTCTCAGTATTAATGACACACATTATACTCAAATTATGGTATAATATATAATTATTAGCTATAGGAAGCTTGTCACACATGTAATACTTGTGCTGATTTGTATGTAGTATAAAATTCTGTAATTTTAGAAATATATCTATGTGTGCAAACATAGGATGACTTTGTATGTAGGAAGAGGTTCTGAACCCATACAACTACAAAATGGAGCAGAATTAAGGCAGAATTTATCTCTCTGAACTTAGAATCTCAACCTTTATGTAGGTATTTCATGGTTTCATGTCAAACTTCAGAAGGAGAGATGCAGAGAAGAACAAACATACAAAATCACACTCTCACTGAGGAGTCAAGCATGAAAAATTCTGGTCCCAAAGGCAATGGTTTTAAAAACCATTAGGCAGCCAACTTTGGCACACACCTGGATGGTTCTTCAGAAAGCTCCATCTTTTAAGTTAGTTCTATTAAAAAAAAAAAGCCATTTAAAAATATCCCCATTTCTACATGACCTTGAAAGTTCTATAAGCTGTGAAAGGCACTGTCATGGGAACACCATTAGGAAATTAGGTCTTCCTCAAAAAACAGAGCTGGAAAAGAAAGAAATCTGCCCCACAACTCTCCTGCGGTTTTCATGTGATGGGGTGTTCCAAAACACTCAGCTCAACTCCACAGAAGCACTGACTCTGCTCTCACAGAACGGCACTTGTACTGATTGAAGACAAAGAAGGCCCTGAGATGATAGGAAAAAAAGAATAATTTATCCCAGGGCCATAACATCTTCATATTTTTTTGTGTCCTTGGTCTGTCATCTCCAGAAGACAATTCCTGAGCTGAATGAAGCACATCTCTAGTTTTCTGTGACTATTCCCATTATTGCTTAGCAAGAGGCACCTTTCATTCTATTTGATGACTGCTTCTTATAGTAGTTCAAAGGAAGTAACTTGGAAGGTTTTTTTTGGCTTTATGAGCTAAAAGCTCTAAACAATATTTCATTTGCCTGTGTAGGATGTGAGCCTGAATCAAAGCTAAGACTTTATTATAACTTTATAACTACAGTGAAAGACTCCAATGGACTGGTTAAACACATTTCATTGAGTACACACAATAAATGAGCACAAGTTCTGAGGGCTGAAGAGAGTGAAGGAAAATCTGGAAACATCCATGTTGCTAAGCATGTCAGAAAGCATCCAAAAATAATTATCCTAAATCATGACTTTTTTCAAAAATCTGTATTCCAGTTAACTATGGAATACAGATAAGAAATAATACACACATGCATACACACAGATGCAGTAACTTGGGGGAAGTTTGGCTGAAAGTGTACTACTGCTTTTCCTACAAACATCTTCTAATAGACATTGTTGATTTTTCTGCTAATAACAGCAGAAAAACTCATTAGCAGC